ATTTTCTCCTTTTCTTTTAGTATTCAATTTTAATGCTTTACTCTGAGACTGCCTTTCTTGATCTTTGGAGGGTCTGGGAGGTACAAAATGTTAACATGCTTCCTGGCTAGCCAAGAAGTTGGAGGTTTGGGCCCATTCAGGGGCACCTTGGAAGAAAGACCTAGTGATCTACTTGTTAAAAAAACAAGTACAGAAAACCTTTGGAGTATAATTCTACTGTGGCATGTGTGGGGCTATGGTTGTTGTTAGATACTGTGAAGTTGGAACCGATTCATAGCTAACCCTTCAGCATATTTTTAGAGGCAGTAAATTTCATAGGAGGAGATGGTCATCTTTCTCCTGTGGAATAGCTAGTACATTTGAACTATGTGCTTTTTGAATTTGCAGCACAACTCCTTACCACGAGGTCACCATGGGAGTCAGGAGCTGACCACTAGTCATTATTGTCAAGTTGGAACCAACACATAACTGACTCTCCAGACACTGTAAATTATACAGAAGGAGATTGCCTATCTCTCCTCCAAAGCAACTGTTGGATTCAAACTGCCTGCATAACTCCTTAACCATTAGTATACTAGAGGTTCCTACTATGGATCAGAGTCATCATAAAGCAACTGGTTACCAGGTTTCTCTGACCTCATATACTCATTTTCATCTGGGACAGTGACCTTTATAATTTTTCTTTTCAGTCTCTCTGTGCCATGGAGGAACCTTTCATCTTGGTCTGTTTTATGTGTTTAATTTTCATGTGCTGCATTGCTGTTATGTGCTAAATTTTTGCTCTGTAACCTATCTAGTATTTAAAAATATATTAAGTATATATTTTTAAAAGATGAATATATATTTAAATAATATTTTAAATACTATTTTATGAATAATACATGAACATGTTCGATTAGACAGCTAGTTAAGGGGTAAGTCATAAAACTAATAGTGCCATTAAGTCGAGTACAACTCACAGCGACCGTATGAACAACAGATCTGAACCTTGCCCTATCCTGTGTTATCCTCATGATTTCTGTCCTTCTCAAGTCCATTGTGGTAAACTCTGTGCCCATCACTCTCATTGAGGATCTTTTATTCCACTTATTATCTTTCCCATATTTATTAACCAGGCCTTTTCTGCAGGTCTGCATACCATGTACATATGTTGCTTTTAGGTGATGTCAAGTTGACTCTGACACTCAGCAACTCTATGTACGACAGAGCGAAACCATTTTTAAAAAAAATTTTATTTTTTTAATTTATTTTTTTTTTTTGCGAAACCTTTTTCACACGACTGATTATCGTTGAACTGGGGCCTGCTTAGAGCTGACCCATCTTTCTCCTACAGAGCCACTGGGGGATTAGAACGGCCAGAAAGTTGCCACCTTTGGGCTAGTGGTACAACTTCCTATGGATTATACTGTCAGAATTCTTTAACTGTAACATATAAATAGGTTTCTTACATTTGGAATAATCTTAAGTTTACAAAGGGATATTTTAATTAACCCTTTTGTCACTTCAGCTTTTTGGGTTTCTTGGGAAGCTGCTACAATTGCAGTAAATGCTACTGCTTGAGCAAGACCGATATAATTGCATGAATTGGAAGAAATGAGTCTCATGCCACTAATCGTACCACTGATGTTGTTGTGTGCCTGTTGAGTCTGAACTAACCCATAGCTGACCCTCCAAGTGTGTTTTCAGAAGCAGTTAATAGCTCGGGGGGAGATTGCCTATTCTTCTCCTCTGGAGAAGTTAGTGGATTTGAACCACACATCTTTGGTTTTGCAGCACTGTTTCTTACTACTAGGCCACCTGAGAGCTTCCTACTATTAACTACCCTTAAGACATAATTGTATCAACATACACATTAACTCAAGAAGAATTTTTCTTTTTATTTCAGCATGCCTTCTGTTTCTGACAACACATTGTTTTTGTTATGTGCTGGAGAATCGGTGCCTTTGTGCTGTGGTGTTGGAGAAGAGTATTGAATATACCATGGACTGCTAGAACAAACAGGTTCATCCTGGAGAAGGTTAGACCAGGCTGCTCCTTGGAAGAAGGACTCTGAAGCTTTTTCTGACATATTTTTGACATGTTGCAAGGAGGGACCAGTCCTTGGAGAGGGATGTCATACTTGGGAGGGTGGACGGACAGAGCAGGAAAGAAGACCTTGGATGAGATGAATTGATTCAGTGACTGGGGTAACGGGGGTAGGGGTGTCAGAGACAATAAGATTGGCACAGGATAGAACAGGGTTTAGGGCTGTGGTACGAAGGGTCGCTATGAGTTGCAGGTGACACTATCCACAAAACATTCTCAGCAGAAAGTAATTTGGTTGTGGAATGGTAATAATTACTTGAGGTTGAGTCATTTGATTCAGCACTAGATTCCTTATCATAGTAACTAGACTAGTGTTTTACAAAATGGAAGTTTACACATAAAATTAACCATCACATATTTACTTATGCAGAGGATATAGAAATGTTGTCTTCAGAGCGCAGCCCAAGAAGACAGTCTGAGGATTTGACCCAGAAGACTGAACTGTTTCAGAATACAAGCTCACAGCCTTTGACGTTCCACCACTTGTCAGCAGAAACCCTGTGTCTCCAAGTGGCATCTTTCTGACGTCTTTCCAAGCATGGCTGTCAGTCTTAAAAAATCCTTTCAAAGTGGACCATCCACGTCTTCTCCTGAGTCAGAAAATCGAGAGTCCGACTCCATTCTAAGACGTGATGTTGAGAACGGCAGTGGGCTGTCTGGATTCCAGAGCATATCTCAGTACCTGCTTAGGTCATCAGAAATAGAAGAACTCCAAAGACTCCACGAGAGTTTGCACTCCTGGCTGCAGCCAGAGAAACACAGCAAGGAGGAAATGATTTCCACATTGGTCCTAAACCAGCTTATAAAGGATAAAAGCCTCACAGGCAACCCTACCTTGCGAAAATTACAGCAGTCAAGCGGCGGAAACATGGAGAAGTTGATGGAGGACTTAAAAATTGATTGCCTGGGACCAGCTGACTCTGTCCGAGTCCACATGCAGGGACAAGAAGCCTCCTTTCCGAGGAATATGTCCATAAAAGAAGTTAGTTTTCAGTTCAAGAAAAAAAGGTCACCTGTGGACCCAAAACGAAGGAGCGGGAGGACCCTCTTCCAAGCTCTGGAAAAGCCCCACACCCACACGAAAAGGAGAAGATAAAGATGGCAGCAGCCCGGTTTTGGTAACGACCCCAAATCGTGACAGTCTTAACAGAGGACACAATCGAGAACCTCTTCGACACATTATCCCAAAAGAGAATTTTTCAAGACCTAAAGGCAAAGCTCATCAGCACAGTGCTCAAAACCCCGAAAGTGCAGGACTAGGTGCCTCAGGACCTCAGGAGGAGGCCCTGGCAGGCCCTGCTCCTCAGTGTGTCCCTATAGATTTAATGCCCAGGCCGGACCCAGCCACCCCTGAGCCTGGCCGTGTACCGAGGAGCAGTGAGGGACCATTTCCAGAAGGAAGAGGAAGAAGATGAAGAATTCCCACAGTATCCATGTACAAAATATTTAAAGGCCTATAAGTATCGCTCTCAGTTAATAGTTCATTAAAGAAAGCATGACTATGACGACAACGCATACGTTTGTGACTAGTGCCTGTCAGTTCCCTCCAGCAGTAAGCCCAGAGAGTGCACCAGGGGACCCCCTGACATTACACCAGGGGCCTCCTGACAGTGCACCAGGGGACTCCCAGGACTTGAAAGGCCCTTTGATGACGGCTTCTGCAGCAGAGGCTTCAGCCCCAGAACCAAGCAGCGCCTTTCCTGTGGATCCACACAGGAGAGAAGCCCGACAGGTGCCCTGCCTGGGGGAAGGGCTTCCACCGTCACTCACATCAATCGCCATGTAAGAATTCAGCAGAAATTTCCTTACACGAGGATCCCAACACGTTGGCAGCTTCCTAGACACCGCCCCATCCTTTCAATTTCTTTAACCACTATAATTTGTCCTTGTTCTGTAACTGCATGGAAATGGAAATTTGTAAAGGACCGGGAATTTCTCTTGGCTTCACCAGTGACTCCCATGTACTTGGCACATCTCAGTTCACTGTCTGCTTTGAAGCCAAGTGACCTGCATGAGGAGGCTAGAAATCCCACCCTGCACCCCCTTCCACCGTCTAGAACACAGACGCTGGTCATAGTGGCCCATTGACCGTTTCCTTGGCAACCTCCCATTCTCTCATTTTCTTAAAAGAAAATAAAATCTTTACACTTTAAAAAAAAAAAAAGAAATGTTGTCTTCAACATAGGTTCCTGAGAGGTTCTACAGCAAAAGAACCTGCTTAATCGTATCTAAGTTTGAAAAATAGACTGTTTTTAATAACCAATATCCTGTTTAATATATCATAAAATATAATTTTACTAGAGTGTACATTTTCAGGAACAAGTTAACTCAAGAATTCAATGTCAAGCCATGACTTGGCTCATACATGTTAATTGAGCTACTGACAGTATAAAAATAATTAAGGTCTAGGGATCGGTAGGTTACTCTTCACATATTTTTTGAACAGACCTTTGTGTGCTTCCTTATTCTACTGGAGGATGGTCAACTATATACATTTTGAGAAGACATTTGCACTCTAGACACCCAAGACACAATAAGTGTAGTGTGAAGTCTTAAGCACTGTCATATAGCTAAGGGTCCTTTTCCTCAAAACAGTCCTCCAGCTCCTCTAGACTGTGGAAGAAGACAACCTTTGACTTTGGTGTTTGATATTGAGGAAGGAAAAAAAGATCTAACTTATGGCTTCTTGACAGTTTTCTTGTAACTTCTGTTGGCAATGGTCTTCTGATAACTCCTGTCCCTGATGAACTTCTTATATCTCCTATCACTCTTGATGTTCAGATTTTAGAAACGTCATTGTAGAACTGGGCAGGCTTCTGTAATGCTTGCATTTTCAGCTTCTATAACCGATTCTCTATTAGACTTATAATGCTACCGAAGCATCCCAATTAAAACTATGGTCTGTGTTGCACACTTTATTTTTTATGAGGTGCCTTTGAACAAGCCATTGCCTTTTTAAGGGCTCCTTTTACCTCCTTGTTTCTAATGGTATAGATGAAGGGGTTCAGAAGAGGGGTGAGGATAGTATTTAGCACAGATACAACCTTATTAATCTTAAATGAGGAGTGGGCTGTGGGTCTCAGGTACATGAACAGAACAGCTCCATAAAGCAGTGAGACAACAGTCAGGTGTGAGGCACAGGTAGAGAAAGCCTTCTGGCGTCCAGTGGCTGAAGGAATCCGCAGGATGGTGGACAGGATGTAGATGTAAGAAATCACTGTGAAAAGGAGTGACCCTGGAATCACCAGGATGGTTGCTAGGAGACCTAGGAGTTCCAAAAGGGTGGTGTCGGTGCAGGCTGCTTTCAAGATGGGACCAACATCACAGTAGAAATGGTTGATGACATTGTTGCCACAGAATGACAGCTGCATGATCAGCAGCATCTGACAAAAAACAATGGTGAAGCCAGTAACCCAGGAGCCAAGGGACAGTTGCATGCAGAGGTTGCCAGTCATGATGGCTGGGTAACGGAGGGGCTTGCAGATGGCCATGTAGCGGTCAAAAGACATGACGGTGAGAATGAGGAACTCAGTGGTGCCCAGGAAGAAGTGGAAGAAAGACTGCAGCAGGCAGCAGGGAATGCAGATGACTGTTCTTACCACCACAAAGGTTTCGAGCAGTTTGGGGATGACTGTGGTGGTATACCAGATCTCCAGAAAAGATAAGTTGCAAAGGAAGAAATACATGGGAATTTGTAGCCTTGGCTCAATCCAAACAATAGCAATAATAAGCCCATTGCCTGCCAGGGTTAATATGTAGATAAGAAAGATCACTATAAAGAGAGGGATTTGTAGTCCTTGAATACCAGGAAAGCCTAGGAGAATGAATTCTGTGATCACTGTGCCATTTTTCATGTCCCCTAATATTCTGGAAAAACAAACAAAAGGTGCTCCTCAGAATTCTTACAAAAACACTTGGATATCAGCAGCTCAACAATTAAAATCATTGTTGTTGGAACCTACTTGTAGCTGACCCTTCAGTGGGTTTTTAGAGGCTATAAATCTCATGGGAGGAGTTTGTCCAACATTCTTCTTAGTAGTGCCTAGTACATTTGAACCACCAGTGAAATGCCTCCTTTGGGTTAGCAGTACAACTTTATATCCACCAGGCCACCTGAGCCTTTGGTTATAGTTGGACACAAAACAGGAGAATTTTAAGTCCACTAGGAGTTCTACCCATAAGACTGTACACACATACCACAGTCCCTATCTTGCTGATGTTTTGGTTTGTTCCTTCATCTCCTAAACTGGCTTTTAATGAACATTAGAAGTGTTAAGAGTGCTTAGAAAAATGGGACATTAATTTTCTTAAACCTTACACAGTTTTGAGAAAAGTACTATTAATGCAGAGTTTTATGTATACATAATGAGTCATTATAAGTTAACCTCCACTCCTTTATTATATTCTGAAATAGAATGTCTGGCTTTTATATTATAGCTGTATAACAGATATGTGTTTATATAATTAAAAACATTGCCATTCATTCCCTTTGTGAACAGGAACTAGCCAAAGACACCCACAATTACTACTCCTTATTGGATCACTATTGTATTATATCACCACCACCATTCAATATTGTGTTAGAAGTACATGCTATGAAAATAAGAAAATGAAATAAGAGTAATCCAAATTGATAAAGAAGTCATAAAACTGTTGCTGTATGTAGATGATATATTAGTGCATACAGAAAACCCCAAATATTCAATAAAAAACTTTTAGATCTAGTTGTTGTTGTTATGAGCCATCATGTCACCTGGACTCATAGCAGCCTTATGCATATTAGCTCTGAACCCTGCCCCACCCTGAGCCAATCTCATCATCTCCAACAGACCTAATCTCATTTCTCCAGTCATTGAGTCAATCCATCTTATCTTGGGTCTTCCTTTCCTGCCTCCAGGGAGCAGTTTGGTTTACCTTCTCCAGGACAAACCTGTTTTTTTCTCCTGGCAGTTCATGGATCCAGAGTTGAACACAGTTCTCCAGCACCACAACTAAAAGACATAGATCCTTCTTCTATCATCCTTAGTTGTCGCCTAGTTCTCTGATGTATAGTAAGTAATTGCAAAGACTGTGGGCTGTATCAGGCACATTTTAGTCTCCAGGCTGACATTATTGTTCTTCAGTATTCTAGTGAGGTCCCTGACAGCAGACTTACCCAATACAATGAACCTTTTGATTTCCTAACTGCTGGTGCCAAGAGTATTGATTGTGGAACCAAGGAATCTGAAATTGTTAACAATCTCCATCTCTTCTCCATGTTGGCACAGGGGTGAGAATCTTTGTTTTCTTGATGTTGAGCTCCAATTCGTATTGAAGAGTACAGTATTTGACTTTATTAAGCAAATACCTCATGTTCTCCTCAGTTTCAGCAAGTAAGGTTGTGTCATATACGTAACACAGGTTGTTGATGAATTTTCCTCCCATCCTGATGCCACATTCCTTCACATAAAGTCCAGCCTCCTGAATTATCTGTTCTGCATATAGTTTTGAAAATCCGAGGAGATAAGATGCATGCCTGATGCACACCTTTCCTTATCCCAAACCATACAGTGTTTCCCTGCTCTGTTCTGACTACTGCTTCCTAGTCAAAGTATATGTTTTGCATGAACACAATTAAGTGTTCTGGGATTCTCATTCTTCTCAAGATTAGTCACAATTTGTTGTGATCCACACAGTCAAATGCTTTTAATAGTTAATGAAACACAGATAAACATTCCTCTGGTACTCTCTGATTTCAGCCAAGTTCCATCCAATGTTGTCTATGATGTAGACCAATTTAGTAGAGTGGAAGGATGCAAGATAAATATACAAAAATCATTAGGATTTCTCTATAGCAACAAAGCACAGAAAAGGAATGAAGAAATGCAATGAAGAAATGAAGAAATCAATACCATTTATAATAGCCAACTGTTGTTGTTGTTGTTATGTGCCGTCGAGTCGCCTGCGACTCATAGCGACCCTATGTACAACAGCCCTAAACTCCGCTCTGTCCTGGGCCAATCGCACT